TGATGACATCATCATAATGTCCGAATCTCTACAACAACATCGAGAACATCTTCGTACAGTCTTCGACATTTTACTCCGATATGGACTCACCATTAATCCGAACAAATGTCATTTTGGTGTACCTGAGGTAAGACTTCTTGGCTACGTAATTTACGCAAATGGTTGTTCTCCACCTACAGATCGTATTGAGGCTATCAAAAATTATAAGAAGCCAGAAACCGTCTGCGAACTTCGTCGTTTTATTGGTGTCTTAAACTACTACAGACGCAGCACATCAACAAGCACCCTTAAACGAACTCGTTGGGAACTCCAAGAAAAACGACAAACGCAAAGTATCATGGGCACCGGAATTAGAAACCGCTTTTGAGACCTGCAAACAAAGCCTTTGTGAAGACACAATGCTTGGACATCCAGCTCCAGACCTAAAACTGGCATTAGTAACGGGTGCATCAGACACTGCCGTCGGTGCCGTCTTAGAACAAAACTTCAACGGTACATGGAGACCTCTAGGATTTTACTCGAGTAAGTTATTAAAATCCGAAAAAGCATACAGCACATACGATCGTGAACTGCTCGCCATTTACAAAGCTGTGAAATATTTTCGACACATGCTGGAAGCACGACATTTCGTCATCATCACGCATTCTCTCAACGACCTTAAAAAGCATCGCCAGACAACTCCGAAATTTAGATTTTATATCTCAGTTACTATAGAGATAGTATATCTTTCTGGACCTAGCAATACCGTTGCAGATGCATTTTCAAGACTCAACGAAATCTCAATGCCAAGCGTCTCACACAAAGACATTCAAAAATCTCAAGAATCCGACGAAGAGTTAAAAACTATCATTGAAGGTAACAATTCTTTGAAGCTGCAAATAATTCAATTCGGAAATACGTCAATATATTGTGACATCTCAACGAGACGTGTCCGTCCATACATTCCAAAAGCATTGCGCAAAGAAATTTTCAACGCTACACACGGACTTTCACACCCTAGCGGTCGTTCAACACTACAGCAAATTCGAACAAGGTACATCTGGCCCGGAATTAAAAAAGACATAATCAATTATTGTCGTCGATGTCTTCATTGTCAAAAAGCGAAGATTACCAGACATAATCGTTTAACTCCGAACGAAATCGATGTTCCAGACAATCGATTTGATCATGTGCATTTAGACATCGTTGTTATGCCACAAGTACAGGATTTCAGATACTGTCTCACCATGATTGATCGATTCTCCAGATGGCCTGAAGCTGTTCCACTCAAACACATGTCCGCTCAAACTGTTGCTAGTGCATTTTGGTCAACATGAGTTTATAGATTTGGTTGCCCAAAAACAATTACAACTGACCAAGGCACTCAATTTGAATCAAGTCTTTTTAAATCCCTAGCAGCACTAACCGGAGCAAAACGAGCCCGTACCACAGCGTACCACCCTCAATCCAATGGTATTGTTGAGAGATGGCATCGAACTTTCAAAGCAGCATTAATGTGTCATCCAACAGATTCCTGGGTTGATATATTACCAACAGTTTTACTTGGACTCCGATCTGCATTTGAAGAAGTCCTTCAAGCCTCACCAGCAGATTTTATCTATGGTGGACAGTTGCGACTTCCTAATGAATTCTACGAAGAAAATAGTCAACAAACTAATTCTGCCGAGTTTCTTCAAAAACTTCGAGAACATTTAGGATTTTGCGCCCAGTGCCTACTGCACATCACACCAAGAACAAAATGTTCAAACTCAAAAACATCGACACATGTTCACATGTATTTCTACGAAGCGATGCTGTACGAAAACCATTACAACCTCCTTACACTGGACCTTATCAAGTGATCAACAGAATTACAGATCGATTATTCACAATTCGAATCAAGGACAAAGACGTCAACGTTACAGTCGACCGTCTCAAACCAGCTTTCGCCTTCAACGATTCCAATCCAAACATCACATCAAATCATAACCAGACTGCGACTTCAACTCAAAACACATCATTAAAGGAATTTCAACATTCGCCGCTATCTCCTTCTGAAATTTCAACCACACCTACTCTATTAACGAGGAAGATATCTTTCCAGGATGATCGTGACTGTGTCACTGGAGGGGGAGTGGTTGTGGCATCTCCGTTACCGCCGTTAAAAAAACAAGACGAAAGGTGGTAACTCTGACAAGAGGCAACAAAGAAGAAAGCAAAAGTTAGTTGCTAGCGAAATCTTCACCACCACAGTTGTGGCAAATCGATCTTGTTGAAATTGAATTACTTTTATTGTCTTTGTTGAACTAATATTAAATAAAATAGTTATTAGAGAGTTGTTAAGATAACTTCAACTACCTTCAACTACCCCAATAACTATAGAACTTATATAAAATATGACTACTTCAAGAAAAGTTAATTCATCTGAGTTGTGTTGAATTGGGAGAGGGTACAATATGGTCAACTGTGAGAGCATACAAAAACATTTGCTTTAGCATTCGCCATACTGTCACTATTGTGTGTGTCCACTTCTCCGATTGACAAGCAACTGCTGATGTTTTGTTTCTTATAGTGTTTGTCACTTTCCAGAATTTCAATCCTTTCGTAATGTTTTTAAGAATTTATTCCAGTTTTGGGTAATACCTTTTAAGATATGGAAATTCATAAGTCAACTTGATTGTGCATAAGAAATAGTGCTATTGTCAAGACGAACATCTTTTTAATATGGATAAAAATCACCTTCGTTGACCAATAAGATATAAAGTTAAAGAAGAGAGCTCACGATGCCAAACTGCTTCTTTCTTTGTGGAACTTTATCAGCAGCAGATTGAAGAATCAAAATGTTAAGGTAAAGTTATTTTGCACAAGGCTGATTCAGTCAGAAGTTTTCAATAAAATTCATTAATTTTTCAACTCAAAGTTTCCTTGGAATTTTTTTAATTTCATCCGAAGTTTATTTTTTGAAAACCCTAACGACAAAAATACATACGCACATACAAACTAAATCACTAATTCTAAACACGACACGAAACTTGATACAAATAATTTAAAGCATCAGTGACGAACAATTTCACATTAAAAACACACAAATAATAACAAATATTTTCAAAAACAAGGATCTGTTGCAAGACTATAATCACATTAATAAACGAAACAAAGAAAAAAGTTATAAGGGGAAATAACAACACAACGGCAATTAACACAAAACTTACACATACTGAAAACAAAACAAAATTTTACTGTGTAAATACATCCCCGGACTTTTTGACAATCCACAAACACAAAAACACCAATTTAGATTACTGAAGTCTGAAGTCTTGATACAGCAATGAACTTAAAAGAAGACAAGCTATAGAGTGCAATAAAGTCCTTCTTTATTTTCTTTTATTTTATTATTTATTTTTTATGTGTTTTAGTATTTTACTAATGTGTTGTTATAGATAGTAATATGGTATGTTTGTAGATGATGATTTTGGTCTTAGAGGTTCACTTTCTTATGTATCTTGGGTGGTCCATTCAGTCAGAAGAGTGACACGTTAAGTTAAAATTTTCTATTTTTGTTATGTAGTTGTTCTTGAGTAAATCTAATACTATGTTTTTGTTATTCCTTTGAATCCGTTGGGGTATTGTTTTGTCATCATCATCTTATACATTACAACAGTTTTATTTTCCTTGTCAGTTATTGTAATTCTTATATTTCCTCGTTGTAGTATCTTTGTTGTGGTAGCATGGATTATAAACCAGTCTTCATTAAAAAAAAGTTGACTTATTCTTTTGAATTTTTTAGATTGTCAAATTTGAATATGTGAATTAATTTTGTCAGTTTTTCAGTGTACTATTTAATTCTCCTTCAATCTGCCCTATTTCAACTTTTGCCGCATTAATGTTGATATGGGTCTCTTAAATTTCTATGTTTTTGATAATTTACATTGAAAATTGTAATAAGCTTTCTTTAATTCGTTTTTCGTTTTTGTTGTTTTGACAGTGTTTTTATGTGCTGCGTTGAATTTGATATGTGTAGGTGGGATTCTAAGTTGCCTACACTCTTGCAAAATTATAAATCGTGATTCTTGTAAAAACATAAATCGTGATTTATATTTTTGTTTTAATTATTTTTGTTAGACAATTATTACATTTGTATACGACCTGTTTACTTAACTTACAAGCAGAACAGACGTGTTGGCTTTTACATTCAGTGCAGACCGATTTTCGAAAGCAGTTGGACGCTTCATGTTCATATATGGCACATTCCCTGATGCGATTTCCTCAACTGACTGATGTCAGTATATTTTATAATATAAAAATATTTTATTCTTCTCACTTCATTTTTCGAGATTTGATTTCTATTGAACTCAATTGCATAAATGGAGTCATCAAGTGTAGATCAAGATGTCTTATTTTAACCACATTAAGGGGTTGAATGCTAAATGAGATCTGAAATTCATCTATTATTGTTGCGGTTGTAACTGTGGGTAGTGCAAATAAAATGAGTTTTAACAGTTTGTCTTGGTGTCTGATTGGATGAGTATGAAAGTTAATGTCTGAATCTCTCAGTTTCGTAATTATGTCTTCATAGTAAGAGATCCTTCAGTATTTTACATTTGATCCATTTCATCACTTCGTCGTCATCATCAGAAAATGGAGCGTGAAGAGTCAGTCATTTTTAGATGTTTAAATTTGGGAAAATTTCCCGAAAAAAATTTGGCGTTTAGATGGCATTTACACTTGTAGATTAGAGATTAAACTAGTAAAAAGCGATGAATCATAATAGTAGACCCACGAGAAAATGGAAAAACGTTCAGTCGAAGACTACCATAACATAATGGAGCCAAGTAAAATTTATGTTTCAAATGTGTATTCAAAATTTATTATCCCACAAGATAAACATTAATTAGAGTCCAATATATATAAAGATTTCTATAATTCTGTGAAATAATAAAAAAATAAACAAATATATGGGGTTAACAACTTTAGAGTAGTTTGGTATTTAATGCTATGAAATATAATAAAAACAAATACTCTTGTAAATAAACCCCATCATATAATCATGTGGTTTCTATTGAGTTGTTATTAAAAAGAAAATATATTTTATGACTACAAAAAATGTATATTTAGATTATTTCTTATGTGATAAAATCACTTAATATAGCAACTGTTGCGCCTTGCATCGATTTTTGTTTTTTGATGTGCTACTTAATGTATTAAAACACTGAGACATTGTAAGTACATATGATTTTAAGGTCGATGTTACAGATGTAGGCAATGACAATGATTCAATAGCATATACACTTGTTCGTCTCACAATAGTTCGACACTATCTCGTGAAGTGATAAAACTAGAAATATAGAAATTAAAATTTAATAATTTTTCCTCTATTAGACGTTTGCAACAAATTCGCACTTACTATTACACCATATTTTTTCCATTCCATTTCTATGCAAAACCAGACGTGCCAATTCGCAGAATGATTCCCTTATATTGAGATCACATAGTGGTGATATTTCGAAACATGACATATTATTTTGCGAAGCATATAGTTCCGCTTGCTTTGCTGCAACTTGCCTTTTGAATGCCAAATGGAGTCTATTGCCCACAAGAACTTTTGGTATACCAGGAGCATGCTAAATTGAAATATTGGCAATTAAACGATTTCTACACAATTTGAACATATATGGAGTTATCATAAAAATTTGTCTTATCAATATATAGTAAACTACGTGCTCTAGTGTGTCTTTTTAGAAGAAACAAGTAAAAAAGCTGTAAGTTCGACCGGGCCGAACTTTGAATGAACTCCACCATTTGGTACGAATTTGGCAATTTTCAAAAAAATAAAATCCGTTAAAAATTTTATTAAAATCTTAACAATACCGAATGTTGCCGTACAATAGGGTCTATACGACGACGTGTCACAAGCTATGACAATATTCAAATACGAAACTTAAAAAATATCGGTGAATAATGTAGCCAAAATCATCAAAATACCGAATATCGGTGGGTACCGTTATATGGGGACTACACGAAGACGTGGACCTGCACAATTTTCTGTCATAGGCTGTAGTATTCATTATGAAATTCAAATACTAAATTTGAAATAGTTCCGGTTTAAATATTATTGTTCCCGATGATGTCTTCCGTCTGAGAACGAAATATCGATAATAGTAAATAAAAAAAGAACAAAGACATCGAACTCAATTTTATCGAACTTACATTTGAAATATTTTTTCTACAATTTTATCCAAAATACTCATCATGTAGGCCAGTATGTTGACGCCAATTTATATGGAAAAATATCTATTATTTAAACACCATTTAGAAATATGTACTAATAAATCTAATTTAGTTAGTTGCTCGCTAAATCTACACCACCATAGTTGTGGCAAATCGACCTTGTTGAAATTGAATTACTTTTATTGTCTTTGTTGAACTAATATTAAATAAAATAGTTATTAGAGAGTTGTTTAGATAACTGCTGTGTTTTAATTCTTCAACTACCTCGTCCACGGACAAACAAAAATAACATTTGCAACAAGCAAATTTTGGAAACATTCGTAGAACTTCACAACACAGTCGTACACACGCACTCACCAAACGAACGTGCATGCTCAATTTTGATCAACATCAATTTCAACGGGCATTTCGTTTCTCAGAACCAGCCTGCAAGAACATTTTTGCAAACTTATGAATCATGCAACACACAAACTGAGACAACGTATTCCAGTCACCTATAAAGAACCGGACTCCCACAGTAGTGAAGAAGAAGCTGAATTTTTCGAAAGCAGCAGCGTGCACAGCAACAAAAGGTGCACATTCCTAAATTCAACGAACGGAACCCACATTTATGGTTTGCACGAGTTGAAGGTTCTTTTGCTTTTTGCAGCATAACATCGGATAACGACGAATTCGACCTAGTGTGTGTCCGTCTTGAAGACGAAGCATTGTTGACAGTTGAAGACCTTATTACAAATCCACCAAACTCGAACAAATATTCTGCGCTTAAGGACAGAATTATTTCCAAATTTGTCAAGTCAAAACTGCGACGTTTAATACAAGGTAGTGAAACGAACAGCATGAAGCCAACGTCAATTTTAGCTCACATGAAACGACTTGCTCCAGGTAAAGGCAATGAGGCAATCATCCGAACACTGTTTCTTGGACAAATGCCTGAAAACATGAGACCTTTTCTTACCGCCTGGGAGGAAGAAGGCCTTGAGAAATTGGCGAAGACCGCTGACAAAATGTTTGAAGCCAACAATAACAATTGTGTCAATTCTCTTCCTTCATCGCTACAACCAGTTGTTGATGCCATTAACCAACGAATGTCTTTCACCGATATGTGCCAAACTATGAGAGAACTTTCGGAGAAAGTTGATAAAATTCAACAACAAATTGGTAAGAACACACGACATCGTTCCAAATCCCGGAATCGTTCAACAATTCAATTCAAACCAACGGAATTTATGCTATTTCCATAAAAAATTTGGCGACAACGCAAGAAAATGTAAACCTGATTGTGCAAGATTTCAGTCGGAAAACTAACTGTGCTGTCGTCAGTCAAATCGGTTGGCGACAGCGACAACAACAACAACACACGTGAAAGACGTCTACTTCTTTACGACAAATCAACAAATACCCGATTTCTTATAGATTCCACTCGTGGTGAAATCTTACAAACCAAAGAGTTTGGAATTTCGAATTCCGCATCATCCTTCGCAGACCTGCTAAGGGAGTTTGAAGATATTACAAAAACGACAACGCTTCGGAAGCCAACATATGAATTGATCGTCGTTCATCACATCGAAACAACAGGAACTCCAGTTGCCGATCGTCCACGCCGTCTTTCAGTTGATAAATTAAAATCAGCTAAAGCCGAAATGGAGTATCTAATCGAACAAGGTATTTGTCGTCCGTCAAAGAGTGCTTGGGCTAGTCCTATACATATGGTCGCGAAGAAAACTGGTGGTTGGCGCGTCTGCGGTGACTACCGCAAACTCAACTCACAAACAGTTCCAGACCTTTACCCGTGGCACACTTACACGATTTTTCTGAAAACCTGCATGGTTAGTCATTTTTTAATACCCTTGACCTTGCCAGAGCCTACAATCAAATGCCAATGGCTGAAGGAGACATTGCACAAACAGCAGTATGTACACCATTCGGACTGTTGGAATTTTTGTACATGCCTTTTGGTTTAAGGAACGGCACACAGACCTTCCAACGTTTCATGGACAACGTGTTCAGAGGGATTGACTTCGTTTATTGTTACATTGATGACATCATCATAATGTCCGAATCTCTACAACAACATCGAGAACATCTTCGTACAGTCTTCGAAATTTTACTCCGATATGGACTCACCATTAATCCGAACAAATGTCATTTTGGTGTACCTGAGGTAAGACTTCTTGGCTACGTAATTTACGCAAATGGTTGTTCTCCGCCTACAGATCGTATTGAGGCTATCAAAAATTATAAGAAGCCAGAAACCGTCTGCGAACTTCGTCGTTTTATTGGTGTCTTAAACTACTACAGACGCAGCACATCAACAAGCATCCTTAAACGAACTCGTTGGGAACTCCAAGAAAAACAACAAACGCAAAGTACCATGGGCACCGGAATTAGAAACCGTTTTTGAGACCTGCAAACAAAGCCTTTGTGAAGACACAATGCTTGGACATCCAGCTCCAGACCTAGAACTAGCATTAGTAACGGATGCATCAGACACTGCCGTCGGTGCCGTCTTAGAACAAAACTTCAACGGTACATGGAGACCTCTAAGATTTTACTCGAGTATGTTATTAAAATCCGAAAAAGCATACAGCACATACGATCATGAACTGCTCGCCATTTACAAAGCTGTGAAATATTTTCGACATATGCTGGAAGCACGACATTTCGTCATCATAAATACGCATTCTCTCAACGACATTAAAAAGCATCGCCCAGACAACTCCGAAATTTAGATTTTATATCTCAGTTACTACAGATATAGTATATCTTTCTGGGCCTAGCAATACCGTTGCAGATGCATTTTCAAGACTCAACGAAATCTCAATGCCTTCAAGCGTCTCACACGAAGACATTCAAAAATCTCAAGAATCCGACGAAGAGTTAAAAACTATCATTGAAGGTAACAATTCTTTGAAGCTGCAAATAATTCACTTCGGAAATACGTCAATATATTGTGACATCTCAACGGGACATGTCCGTCCATACATTCCAAAAGCATTGCGCAAAGAAATTTTCAACGCTACACACGGACTTTCACACCCTAGCGGTCGTTCAACACTACAGCAAATTCGAACAAGGTACATCTGGCCCGGAATTAAAAAAGACATAATCGATTATTGTCGTCGATGTCTTCATTGTCAAACAGCGAAGATTACCAGACATAATCGTTTAACTCCGAACGAAATCGATGTTCCAGACAATCGATTTGATCATGTGCATTTAGACATCGTTGTTATGCCACAAGTACAGGATTTCAGATACTATCTCACCATGATTGATCGATTCTCCAGATGGCCTGAAGCTGTTCCACTCAAACACATGTCCGCTCAAACTGTTGCTAGTGCATTTTGGTCAACATGAGTTTATAGATTTGGTTGCCCAAAAACAATAACAACTGACCAAGGCACTCAATTTGAATCAAGTCTTTTTAAATCCCTAGCAGCACTAACCGGAGCAAAACGAGCCCGTACCACAGCGTACCACCCTCAATCCAATGGTATTGTTGAGAGATGGCATCGAACTTTCAAAGGAGCATTAATGTGTCATCCAACAGATTCCTGGGTTGATATATTACCAACAGTTTTACTTGGACTCCGATCTGCATTTGAAGAAGTCCTTCAAGCCTCACCAGCAGATTTTATCTATGGTGGACAGTTGCGACTTCCTAATGAATTCTACGAAGAAAATAGCCAACAAACTGATTCTGCCGAGTGTCTTCAAAAACTTCGAGAACATTTAGGATTTTGCGCCCAGTGCCTACTGCACATCACACCAAGAACAAAATGTTCAAACTCAAAAACATCGACACATGTTCACATGTATTTCTACGAAGCGATGCTGTACGAAAACCATTACAACCTCCTTACACTGGACCTTATCAAGTGATCAACAGAATTACAGATCGATTATTCACAATTCGAATCAAGGTCAAAGACGTCAACGTTACAGTCGACCTTTCAAACCAGCTTTCGCCTTCAACGATTCCAATCCAAACATCACATCAAATCATAACCAGACTGCAATTTCAACTCAAAACACATCATTAAAGGAATTTCAACATTCGCCGCTATCTCCTTCTGAAATTTCAACCACACCTACTCTATTAACGAGGAAGATATCTTTCCAGGATGATCGTGACTGTGTCACTGGAGGGGGAGTGGTTGTGGCATCTCCGTTACCGCCGTTAAAAAAACAAGACGAAAGGTGGTAACTCTGACAAGAGGCAACAAAGAAGAAAGCAAAAGTTAGTTGCTCGCGAAATCTTCACCACCACAGTTGTGGCAAATCGATCTTGTTGAAATTGAATTACTTTTATTGTCTTTGTTGAACTAATATTAAATAAAATAGTTATTAGAGAGTTGTTAAGATAACTTCAACTACCTTCAACTACCCCAATAACTATAGAACTTATATAAAATATGACTACTTCAAGAAAAGTTAATTCATCTGAGTTGTGTTGAATTGGGAGAGGGTACAATACATTAAGGTCATCTGTGGAGAGCATACAAAAACATTTGCTTTAGCATTCGCCATACGGTCACTATTGTGTGTGTCCACTTCTCCGATTGACAAGCAACTGCTGATGTTTTGTTTCTTATAGTGTTTGTCACTTTCCAGAATTTCAATCCTTTCGTAATGTTTTTAAGAATTTATTCCAGTTTTGGGTAATACCTTTTAAGATATGGAAATTCATAAGTCAACTTGATTGTGCATAAGAAATAGTGCTATTGTCAAGACGAACATCTTTTTAATATGGATAAAAATCACCTTCGTTGACCAATAAGATATAAAGTTAAAGAAGAGAGCTCACGATGCCAAACTGCTTCTTTCTTTGTGGAACTTTATCAGCAGCAGATTGAAGAATCAAAATGTTAAGGTAAAGTTATTTTGCACAAGGCTGATTCAGTCAGAAGTTTTCAATAAAATTCATTAATTTTTCAACTCAAAGTTTCCTTGGAATTTTTTTAATTTCATCCGAAGTTTATTTTTTGAAAACCCTAACGACAAAAATACATACGCACATACAAACTAAATCACTAATCCTAAACACGACATGAAACTTGATACAAATAATTTAAAGCATCAGTGACGAACAATTTCACATTAAAAACACACAAATAATAACAAATATTTTCAAAAACAAGGATCTGTTGCAAGACTATAATCACATTAATAAACGAAACAAAGAAAAAAGTTATAAGGGGAAATAACAACACAACGGCAATTAACACAAAACTTACACATACTGAAAACAAAACAAAATTTTACTGTGTAAATACATCCCCGGACTTTTTGACAATCCACAAACACAAAAACACCAATTTAGATTACTGAAGTCTGAAGTCTTGATACAGCAATGAACTTAAAAGAAGACAAGCTATAGAGTGCAATAAAGTCCTTCTTTATTTTCTTTTATTTTATTATTTATTTTTTATGTGTTTTAGTATTTTACTAATGTGTTGTTATAGATAGTAATATGGTATGTTTGTAGATGATGATTTTGGTCTTAGAGGTTCACTTTCTTATGTATCTTGGGTGGTCCATTCAGTCAGAAGAGTGACACGTTAAGTTAAAATTTTCTATTTTTGTTATGTAGTTGTTCTTGAGTAAATCTAATACTATGTTTTTGTTATTCCTTTGAATCCGTTGGGGTATTGTTTTGTCATCATCATCTTATACATTACAACAGTTTTATTTTCCTTGTCAGTTATTGTAATTCTTATATTTCCTCGTTGTAGTATCTTTGTTGTGGTAGCATGGATTATAAACCAGTCTTCATTAAAAAAAAGTTGACTTATTCTTTTGAATTTTTTAGATTGTCAAATTTGAATATGTGAATTAATTTTGTCAGTTTTTCAGTGTACTATTTAATTCTCCTTCAATCTGCCCTATTTCAACTTTTGCCGCATTAATGTTGATATGGGTCTCTTAAATTTCTATGTTTTTGATAATTTACATTGAAAATTGTAATAAGCTTTCTTTAATTCGTTTTTGTTGTTTTGACAGTGTTTTTATGTGCTGCGTTGAATTTGATATGTGTAGGTGGGATTCTAAGTTGCCTACACTCTTGCAAAATTATAAATCGTGATTCTTGTAAAAACATAAATCGTGATTTATATTTTTGTTTTAATTATTTTTGTTAGACAATTATTACATTTGTATACGACCTGTTTACTTAACTTACAAGCAGAACAGACGTGTTGGCTTTTACATTCAGTGCAGACCGATTTTCGAAAGCAGTTGGACGCTCCATGTGCATATATGGCACATTCCCTGATGCGATTTCTTCAACTGACTGATGCCAGTATATTTTATAATATAAAAATATTTTATTCTTCTCACTTCATTTTTCGAGATTTGATTTCTATTGAACTCAATTGCATAAATGGAGTCATCAAGTGTAGATCAAGATGTCTTATTTTAACCACATTAAGGGGTTGAATGCTAAATGAGATCTGAAATTCATCTATTATTGTTGCGGTTGTAACTGTGGGTAGTGCAAATAAAATGAGTTTTAACAGTTTGTCTTGGTGTCTGATTGGATGAGTATGAAAGTTAATGTCTGAATCTCTCAGTTTCGTAATTATGTCTTCATAGTAAGAGATCCTTCAGTATTTTACATTTGATCCACTTCATCACTTCGTCGTCATCATCAGAAAATGGAGCGTGAAGAGTCAGTCATTTTTAGATGTTTAAATTTGGGAAAATTTCCCGAAAAAAATTTGGCGTTTAGATGGCATTTACACTTGTAGATTAGAGATTAAACTAGTAAAAAGCGATGAATCATAATAGTAGACCCACGAGAAAATGGAAAAACGTTCAGTCGAAGACTACCATAACATAATGGAGCCAAGTAAAATTTATGTTTCAAATGTGTATTCAAAATTTATTATCCCACAAGATAAACATTAATTAGAGTCCAATATATATAAAGATTTCTATAATTCTGTGAAATAATAAAAAAATAAACAAATATATGGGGTTAACAACTTTAGAGTAGTTTGGTATTTAATGCTATGAAATATAATAAAAACAAATACTCTTGTAAATAAACCCCATCATATAATCATGTGGTTTCTATTGAGTTGTTATTAAAAAGAAAATATATTTTATGACTACAAAAAATGTATATTTAGATTATTTCTTATGTGATAAAATCACTTAATATAGCAACTGTTGCGCCTTGCATCGATTTTTGTTTTTTGATGTGCTACTTAATGTATTAAAACACTGAGACATTGTAAGTACATATGATTTTAAGGTCGATGTTACAGATGTAGGCAATGACAATGATTCAATAGCATATACACTTGTTCGTCTCACAATAGTTCGACACTATCTCGTGAAGTGATAAAACTAGAAATATAGAAATTAAAATTTAATAATTTTTCCTCTATTAGACGTTTGCAACAAATTCGCACTTACTATTACACCATATTTTTTCCATTCCATTTCTATGCAAAACCAGACGTGCCAATTCGCAGAATGATTCCCTTATATTGAGATCACATAGTGGTGATATTTCGAAACATGACATATTATTTTGCGAAGCATATAGTTCCGCTTGCTTTGCTGCAACTTGCCTTTTGAATGCCAAATGGAGTCTATTGCCCACAAGAACTTTTGGTATACCAGGAGCATGCTAAATTGAAATATTGGCAATTAAACGATTTCTACACAATTTGAACATATATGGAGTTATCATAAAAATTTGTCTTATCAATATATAGTAAACTACGTGCTCTAGTGTGTCTTTTTAGAAGAAACAAGTAAAAAGCTGTAAGTTCGACCGGGCCGAACTTTGAATGAACTCCACCATTTGGTACGAATTTGGCAATTTTCAAAAAAATAAAATCCGTTAAAAATTATATTATAATCTTAACAATACCGAATGTTGCCGTATATTAGGGTTTATACGACGACGTGTCACAAGCTATTACAATATTCAAATACGAAACTTAAAAAATATCAGTGAATAATGTAGCAAAAATCATCAAAATACCGAATATGGGGGGGTACCGTTATATGGGGGCTATACGAAGACGTGGACCTGCACAGACAATTTTTGTCATAGGCTGTAGTATTCATTATGGAATTCAAATGCTAAATTTGAAATAGTTCCGGTAAATAATGTCGCTAAAATCATCAAAATACCGAATATCGGGTGGTACCGTTATATGGGGGCTATAAGACAGACAATTTTCTGTCTTAGGATGTAGTATCCATTACGAACTTTAAACACCGAACTTCAACGATCTTTACGAACTTCAACATCAAAATACCGAATATCGGGAGGTACCGTTATATGGGGGCTATACGAAGACGTGGACCTACATGGCCCATTTTCTGTCTTAAGCCGTAGTATCTATTACGAACTTTAAGTACTAATTTTGAAACAACTCCGGTAAATAATGTCGCTAAAATCAACAAAATGCCGCATATCGGGAGGTACCGTTATATGGGGGCTATACGAAGACGTTAACCTACATGGCCCATTTTCAATACCAAAAGTCCTGCAGAGATAATACACATTTGAGTAAAATTTTATCAACCTACTTCATTTCGTTCGGAAGCTAGAGTGATTTTCACAGACGGATACGTACATTGCTAAATTGACATAGAATTTTATGCTGATCAAGAATATATATACTTTGTGGGGTCTAAATGTATATTTCGAGGTGTTACAAACGAACTGACAAACTTAATATGGTTGAGGGTATAAAAATAATACAAGAATCGTAGGGTAAGTGTACCAGTAGTCGGCACTTTTAGGATTTTCGCGTTTTCAATCATTCACCATTGTGAGTGGAACTTTTCTATTATTACAAAGTTAATTTATTCAGATTGGTAATTTTGTATAGTTTTTGCAATAATAAATAGAGTTTTAAAAAAATTTTATTACATTTCATAAATTTGGAGTTTTATTAAAATAATGATATTTTGCCAGTAGTCGGCACCACTTGCCAATTATCGGTATGACATGTTCCAACAGTTGGCATACCGATTTTTTGTAAGGATAACTAATAATTATAATAAATTTATTTATTAAAATGTTATATTTTTGATTCGACGTCTTTATTGTACTTTTCTTAAAAATATGGATTATCTCGTTCATGCTGAGGACCTTCACAGACAAAAATATAATTTTTATTAGAATAAATCATTTTTTCTTAGCGAAATTGTACACAAAGATAGTTGACATTATATTCGAAGTAAAAAAAATATGTTTACATTTAGTTATAACTGTTTCGTCTATTTGAGCTTAAAAATAAAAAGTGCCGGCTACTGGGACATGTCGAACTTGGTCACACTTACCCTATCCACACAGCTGTAAAAATAATGGTAGAATTATTATCAAAAGTTCCTTACCCCTAACTATTTTCGATTGCATTGCACTCAATCGAATACTGCAATACCATAATTTGCCAAGTAAAATTTATATTTCAAATGTGTATTCAAAATTTATTATGCCACAAGCTAAACATTAATTAGAGTCCAATATATATAAAGATTTCTATAATTCTGTGAAATAATAAAAAATAAACAAAAATATGGTTTTAACAACTTTATAGTAGTTTGGTATTTAATGCTATGAAATATAATAAAAATAAATACTTTTGTAAATAAACCCCATCATATAATAATGTGGTTTCTTTTTAGTTTTTATAAAAACAAAATATATTTTATAACGACCAAAATGTATATTTAGATTATTTCTTATTTCTTTTATTATTAATCACGTAATACAGCAACTGTTGCGGCCGCTACTGGAAGGCGTCTTGCATCTATTTTTGTTTTTTGATGTGCTACTTAACGTATTAAAACACTGAGACGTTGTAAGTGCATATGATTTTAAGGTCGATTTTACAGATGAAGGCAATGGTAATGATTCAATAGCATATACACTTGTTCGTCTCACAATAGTTCGACAACACAATTCTTGAAGTGATAAAACTAGAAATATAGAAATTAAAGTTAATAATTTTTCTTCTATTAGACGTTTACAACAAATTTACCCTTATTATTACGCCATATTCTTTCCATTCCATTTCTATGCAAAGCCAGACGTGCCAATTCGCAGAATGATTCCCTTATATTGAAATCACATAGCGGTGATATTTCGAAACATGACATATTATTTCGCGAAGCATATAGTTCCGCTTGCTTTGCTGCAACTTGCCTTTTGAATGCCAAATGGAGTCTATTGCCCACAAGAACTTTTGGTATACCAGGAGCATGCTAAATTGAAATATTGGCAATTAAACGATTTATGCACAATTTGAACATTTATAGAGTTATCATAAAAAAATGCTTTATCAATATATAGTAAACTAAGTGCTTTAGTGTGTTTTTTTAGAAAAAAAAAATAATACAAGAATTGTATGTATCCGGCACTATTTATCAAAATAACAAAATTTCGGTTCTGAAACGTAGGCGTCCAGAATAATGGTAGAATTATTATCAAAAGTTTCTTTCCCCTAACTATTTTCTTATTTTTGACGTTATTTGGTGATTTGTGAAATAAATATAAAAACTAATTGAAAATTAAAACTAAAGAAGGCGTGACTGTTATTTTGTTCAAAATAATTCATAATACCGAATATCTGGAGGTATCGTTATATGGGGACTATACGAAGACGTGGACCTGCATACGAATTTTTGTAATAGGCTGTAAAACCCCTTAAGAACTTCAAATACTACATTTTAAATATTTCTGCCTATTGGCAAAATACACATGTTTGCAAAATTAACCCTTCTATCTCGATTCGTTCGAAAGATGTCGCTAAAGCGACTCAGAATTTTATGATGATCCTGAATTCTAGTTGTACGTATTTAAGCATAGGAATTCGGCACACAAAACTAATTTTGTGGAGGACCACCTAGCGAGGGGCTCTGTCAAAGGTGATCAAGTGGTTGTAGAAACAAATTGGGTACAAATTTTCCGAAAATTAAATTCTTTGGGGCCACCCAACGAAGAGTTGTTATGTCAAAGGTGATCGAGTAATTCACCAAATCGATCGGAATCTGAAGCTAAAACAAAAACGATCGATTTTAAATTTATCGATTGATTTAATGCCTTCTAATCAAAATTCGAGTAAAAGGCAGAAACATAAATTTACAGAAATCTAAAATGAATTTCTTTCGAGTTGTTAATGAAAGAAGACTTTCCATTGCCTATAATGCCATTATATATGGTTAAATAAACTAAATGTACGATCACATTATTGAAGTTTTACCATCATAATAGATCTAGCGGTAGCGGAGATATACTCTTACTATGTAGATTTAGAGAATATCAACAGAAAGTTTGATGTAAGTCTGGCTGAATAAATTTAGATTAAGAAAATAGACTCTAACATTGAGTGTTAATCAGGATTGCAATTTGTTTGTAAGCGTGATCTAACACGTCGCACATTTTATGTTGTACGGTATAACAATTATTACAGTCAAAAAATTTGCGTATACACTGTCTCAATTTGCGTGCACAATCAAGGTAGTTTCAATACGAAACGTTTCTTTCGGAACTGGATAAACCACAATGACTTGAACCTGTCTTTTACATAGACAATGTTAGATATCTTTCTGAGGGGAAACCAAATTTACTGTGCAGAGGGACCGAATCGGAATATAGCTTACTACTGGGCCAAGCCTAGTAGAATAAATGCAAAGCCGGAAAATAGGAACTATGTCCTTTCATCAGGAAGACTAAAATTGCTTACCCAGACGAACTAGCAAATAAAGCTTAACAATGTGATCAATCTGTTGAAGGACAATGGGTTTAAGATTGGGACTAAATCCAAACATGATTCGCTGACTGTACACAATCTTAATTAGATATATTCTAACATAAGCATTAGAACCAACACTTGTCCTGGACAGAGAATCGTGGAACAACGGATACCTAGCGAGTATGCTAGCTAACTGTCGAGAAGCTTCTGCTTCACGGACGGCTGATAGTTAAGGAAGAGAACTGGGCAAGACCGATATCACTCTCTTCGGCTACCGAACCACACTACGGCTCTCCAGCCGGAAATCGAAAATGCATCTTAAAATGCATAAATATAAAAAGTAGCAAGACAGAAAAAAGTTGTATCATTATTTATTAGATTTATAGAATGCAAGCAAACAGAAAATCAATACTAGAATTGAATGTACCTTTCTTAGCCCTCTGTATCAATTAATTGCTAAAACGAAGAGGCAATGTTATATACGTACTATATACGTATGTTGATATAGCGTATGTAATCTAACCAGCACACTCCTCCCGGCAAAAAGCCGAAACCTGAGCACTGGATTAACGAGCTGAGAAAACAAAACAAGATCTTCTAAAAAAAGCTACCTTGCATCCGATTGTGACGCTTATAAAGCATAAGTATAAAAGAAGGAACACACCAAGAAGAATTCATGGGTACAATTCTGTAAGACGACAGAATGAGTCAACGTAGCAGCTTTGTGTCGCAAGGTACTGCCAAAGGATCCCAAGCCAATTGACAAAATCAAGAAACGAAATTAGGAATGACAGCCGCCAGGTCTTAACTTTCTGGACCTCCTAGCGAAAACACATTTTCCCAACTGTAAGTTGGAGCAAATCCATCTCACTCAGATCAGAGAGTGATGGCAATCTCTAGGCTAACTAACAGAAACAAACCCAAATAAGCGATTGGTACCTTCCAGACGCATAAATCGCCCGCATCGTGTTACACCAGCGATGTTACAGAATTGATCAATTCTGGTATACGTTATCCTGTAGGCCTATTCTCTAACTTTTATTGAACAAACAAATGAATTTTTTATTTGTATCACTCATATACCTAAAACTGGCAAGCCAAGTCACGCTGCAATGAACGACTATAGACCAATTCGATTATCATCTTTCCTTTTAAATATCTTTGATAGGCTAATATATCTTGATATTAGATCGGAACTAGACTGTTCACTGGTGAGCAAATCACAGGAATCTTTTGAAGCAGCTCTTCACCAGGTGGTCAGTTATATTGAAGAGAACATAAAGAAGAAAAACTAAACACTGGCGGCTTTTCTTGACATAGAGGGAATGAAGAGATATAAAAATCCCGAGGTTCAGAGCGAACTGAGTGTTAAGTTTCATGACATGCTAAACAGCTGGATTAATACAATGCTTAGCAGCAGAATCAATAATTCCAGCAATAGTGAGACATCCATTAGGAAATCATTGCCCATAGAAACACCGCAAGAATCGTGGTAAACTATATTCTACAGGACTTCGGAAAAACAGGCAAGGTTTTATGCGGTTTATGTAGTGTACACTTACAAAGCTGTCGCGATATGCAAACAGTAACGGCTAGGGGTCCACCCAACACAGACAGAGTTGGTACCTTCCTCGCAAGCCATATCAATTAATTCCACCAGTGTCCAGAAAGCTCTCTTCTCAAGCCATATATTTAGGTACAGTTTTGGCTGATGTGCAAAATATACCGTATACTATACTGTACGATTTTTTAAGAGCTGAAATAAACTTTAACCCTTATGGACAGATCAACGATACCATATCTCCAATCATGAGGTTTGACAGAATTGGGACGCTGATTCCAAGTAGGGCTGAATGGAACGGTGCCAAACTACCTCTAATCGGTCTGCCGATTTCGTGTAGAGAAATAATATCTCAAATACAGTTGATAGATACTCCAGAGGAACATCTGCAGTACACTAGACGAGAATCAAAAAATTAACAACAGTCAGTTCGCTCTGAACCTCGGGATTTTTATGTCTCTTCATTGCAGCAAGATATATTAAAACTAAAACAATAGGCTAGCGACGCGGACTATATCAGCTAGTATACATGTACTTACAATTTTCCAATTTTTTTTTTTTTTTGGACAGCTCTATCCGAATTTCCTTTAAAACAGTCTAAAAGGTATGTTTGACAACCCTTTGATTACTTTTCGAAAATAACCACTTCAAAATACATACTCCGCGAAGAAACACCGTTTCTGTTCATTTTTTGAATAATAATGAAACTACGAAATAACGATAACGTCGAAGGCGTTTGCCAGGTATTAGGTAAGGGTGTTATATTATACAATTTACATTTTCCGAATTTTACAATTTAGTCAAAGTAGAATTGGTACATTCATACAAATACACATTCAAATACAGTTTTAATATTCATACATTTACATATTAAATATTCAAAGTATCTCAATAGAGTGGGCAAGATGAAACCTCTTACAAATTTCGGTTTGAGATTCTTGGGAATATTAGGTGTCTTCGGCGATTGATTATTTTGATCCACCATTTTAACCATGCAATAGCGTGGTTTCGGTTTTTTAATTGTAGCATGTCAGAAATTTTGTTGTAAAATTCTACTATGGTCCTAGAATGCATCAAAAGCCTATATCTTGATTTATCGCCAGGATTTCATAGATATTAAAAACAAAAATTAGAGTTATAGTCGTACTTCAAATAGGTTGATGTAAAATTTTACTACAAAACTTCATTTTACTTCATAAATGAACTATTCCAATGTAGTTTCCGAATAATAAATATTTCTATATTATATGTTTTATTAATTATAGCTCAAACTTTAACAACAGTATTTCGAATCTCCAAGAGTAATTAATTTTGCTATCGTAAAATGAGTTGAGGCACATACGATTTTCGTGTATATAATATGTAATATAATATAGAAATATAAGGTTTTTAAAAAAATGTACGAAGCAAAATTTTGACCTAATGTATGGATGCTGTACAGTGTACATACCTTATATAGACATCAATCGACGAGTTCGATAATCCTGTAAATAAAAAAAGAAAGAAAAAAAAAAGAAAGAAAAAATGTAAATAAAAAACTTGTTGGCTTCCTGTTTGTCTTCCGAGTAAAATATTTATTTTATTAAATAAAATATTTTGCAATGTATAATATCAATATACAAATAGTATGACCATTAAACTCGGAATGTGTGTTGTTCTTAATGTAAACAAACAAAGAGAAAACCCAACAAGTTTTTAATTTTTACCAGGGTAAGCCAAGGAATACCATGGTTTCGGAAGAAGTTAAGTTAATTTTTTTTTTAAACTAAGTGACGAGGCATTATGCTCTTATAAAAATAATCATCTATATCCTCTTAGTATGCCTTTATTTATATGAACCATGAAAGTTGGTTTTGTCTTTTACAACAAAAATCCTGTATCGACGGCACCTTGTCTATAAATAGAATAGTGTTAGCATTTTGACTGGGATTCCGAAATTATTTCGTTGT